TCTAGCCCCTCTTCCTTCTGTCTTAACTCCTATAATATACTCACGTATTTTCTTAGTTTTAAGAAGTATTTGCTGACTGAATAATGAAGCTACATATTCCTTTAGGTATGGATAGCCTTTAAATGAGTAATATGAAATGCAAGCCCTTATGTGAAAAAAACTTATGTGTAAGTGCAGAAACCAGACAGGTAGATAATAATAATGCAGGGTAGATTGAATGTTTATGTCCCTCCTGTATAATGTTAGAAACAAAGACAGACATGTTTATGTCTTTCCACAATAACAGAATTTATTAAATAACAATATATCCACACACTGCATCACTTTTATTGACTGCAATTTGCAAAGCATTCCTGGTTTCCCTTAATAGCTGGCCATTGGCCACGGCATTGTTGGAGGAGTTCAGTGGACTTACTGGAGGGGGCAGAGAGCTGAGAGTGATGCAGAAAGCCACTGCAGTGTTTAGATATTAATGAACCCGGCTGGAGAGCTGCTGGAGGTACTGAGGAGCAGAGGCTGCAGGATTGCAGGACTGGGTTTAGCTGCAGAGTTGAAATGAACTACAGAGCCAAGGTACAGGACAGTGGAAGAGGTAGAGGCCAGGCACAAAGAGATGAATGGATGAACATGAATGGAATGATAATAAGTGAAGCCGGTAATGTCAGTGGTGGGGACTGAGGTTGGAAAAGCTTCTCTGAGAAAGGAAGCTGATTAGGAAAGAAGGCACTTATAAGAGACCTGCTGGTTGCTCCTGAAGCCAGCCAGCCATAGAGTAAGAGTAAAAGTGAGATATACAGAAGAAAAGAAAAAAGCTCAGAGGTAAAAGGTAGCCAGGTTAATTTAAGAAAAGCTGGCTAGCAACAAGCTAAGCTAAGGCCTGGCATTCATAAGTAATAATAAGACTCTGCATGTGATAGGCAGCCCCCCCAAAAAAAACAAACAAAAGAGCAAAAACAAAGCACAACAGTGGGCTCTTGGCTCTGTTGTTCCTGCATCATGATGTGGCAGAAAGCATCTGCAAGAGCAGAACTTCTTATCTCATGGTCCTTGCAAAGAAAAGAGAAAGACACAAAGGGCCCAGGGACAAGACATAGCCTTCAAAGACTTGCCTCCAAATGAGCCACCTCCTCCCAGCAGGCCCCACCTCTTAGCAACGCATTCAGGACAAACTCATCAGTAGATCAACCCATCCTTATGACTCATACCTTTCAAAATGGCACTTCTCTGAGGACCAGGCCTTCAACACACATGAGCCTTTTAGGAAATGGTGCTTCATCTTCAAATCACAACAATGGCATATGCTTTTGCATTCGTATACCCATTATAGAAAATTAGGAAACATAACATTCCTAACAGTCAGTATGGATCTATATGTAATTTTCAGGTTTCTGAGGTTTAAGCCCCTGTTGTGGAATATTTGTATATTATGTTAAAATGTATTGCTGTGATTGGTGTAATAAAAAGCTGAATAGCCAATAGCTAGGCAGGAGGTCTAGGCAGGACTTTTGGACATAAAGAGAAGATGAGATAATTGAAGAGTAGGGAGATGCCAAGGAGACCTGGAGGGAGTTGGACATACAGAATGAAAGAAAGGTAAAAAGCCATGAAACAAAATGTAGATTAATATAAATGGGTTAATTTAAGTTATAAGAGCTAGTGGACAAGCCCAAACTAAAGCTGAGCTTTCATAATTAATAAGTCTCTATTATTTGGGAGCTGGCTGGTGGGACAGAGAAAGACTAGTTAAAAACCCCTAAAGTAGTTATTCCCCGAAATTATTTAAAAATGACTGAATTAATGCCATTTTGTCCTCTCCCCCAAAAGCCATCACAGGGAAGATGTCGCAGCTGATATATCATCTAGCCGTAGAATGTTTGAGCCATGCAACCCTTAGAGTGAACCTTGACCACTCAGGAGAAAAAGACAAGCAGGGAGAGGATCTGACCAGCACTAGGACAAATACTTTGGAAACTCTGGAGCAGAGAGTTGTAAAATCCTTGTCTCTAAGTTCAGGATGGCTTCCTGAACCAGTAACATTTGCTTCCTCTGCTTTAGAAAAGCCCCATCAATGAGAAACCTCCCAACAAATTATACCACAGGTAAAGAAGTACTACCGGATACTTTAAATAATTTGGCTATATGTTACATTTATCCCTTGTATGATGAGAATCTTTGGAACTTAATGTGGTGGGTTATTTGTACACTGTGAAGATGTATTGCTGTGATTGGTGTAATAGAAGCTGAACTGGCCCAATAGCTACGTACGTACGAGAGATAGGCAGGACTTCCAGGGGCGGAGAGACAAGAAGAAGGGGGAGTCGCCAGCCAGAGGTGGAGGAGTAGCATGGGCAATGTGGAGAGATGAGGTATCCATGCAATAGAATGCAGATTGAAATAAATGCGTTATTTTAAGTTATAAGAACTAGTGGGACAAGCCTAAGCTAAGATTGAGCTTTCATAATTAATAGTAAGTCTCCATGTCATTATTTGTGAGCTGGCTGCCCAAAGAAAAGTCCAACAATAACTTAGTCTCAGAATAATCGTAAGAATCAATATATTATTTTTCTAACTTAGACATTATGTAAAGATTCAGCAAATTAAAAACATTTCATTGGTTCATACATCTTTCTCCTAGGTTTTTTAATTAAACATTTTATTTCAAGGTAGTCATAGATTTCCAAGAAGTTGTATTGCTTAAAAGCGAAAACCTCTGTACTTGTTTCCTGGCTTCTCTCAGTATTAGCATCCTACAAAGATATAGGACAGTTTCACAGCTCAGGTTTTGTCTGTCATTGGTACAGTGAAACTACAGGACATCTCTAGTACCACAGGAACCCCTTGGTTACCTTTTTATAGTCACATCTACTTCTCCCATACCCACTCCTTCTTTAAATCCTGGTCACATGAATCTATTCTGAATTTCTATAATTTTGTATTTTCAAGAATGTTTAAAAAATGAAACCCATGTTATATAACCTTTGAGGTTGGCTTTCTTTTAGCATATTTGAAATTCATCCAAGTTATGTCTTCCTTTTCTTTTTTCAGTAATATTTCATAGTAGTCATGTACAACAGTCTCCCAGGTAGTAGTCCATTTAGCCATTCACTATTCACTAGGAACACCTAGACTGAATTACTACCAACTTTCATGTTTATGTTTTTGTGAGAGAATAAATTCTTATTTCTCTTGAATAAATGCTCAGAAGTATAATAATTGCTAGGCTATATGGAACTGTATGCTTAGTCTCTCGCCTACATTTCTGTCTTAGGGTTTCTATCTCTGTGAAGAAACAGCATGACTATAACAACTCTTTTTTTTTAAAATTTTGCATTTCTTATTTATTATTATTATTTTATGTGTATTGGTGTGAGGCTGTTGGATCCCCTGGAACTGATATTATAGACAGTTGTAAGCTGTCATGTGGGTGCTGGGAATTGAACCTAGGTCATCTGGAAGAGCAGCCAGTGAACAGCTATTAACCACTGAGCCATTGCTCCAGCCCACTATAACAACTCTTATAAAGGAAAACATTTAATTGGATGGCTTATAGTTTCAGAGGTTTTGCCCATTATCGTCATAGATCAAGAAGTAAGAGTTTTACATCTTGATCCACAGGCAGCAGAAGGAAACTGTCACACTAGGCCCTGCTTGAGCATATAAGACCCCAGAGCTCATCCCCCAGTAACACACTTCCTCCAACAAGTCCACACCTACTCTAACAAGGCTATATCTCCAAATAGTGCCACTCCCTGTGGGCCAAGCATTCAAACACATGAGTCCAGGGCCATTCCTATTCAATCCATACCTTTGAAATTAGTTTTTTGTTTTGTTTTGTTTTTGTTTTTTAAGACAGGCTTTTATTTTGGTTGTGAGCTTAGCCTTTAACAGATGAGTTATCCCTCCAGCCCAAGACAGGGTTTTATGCTGTCACTCAGGCTGGCCTGGAAGTCAGTATGTAGCTCCCTGCTGGCTTTGAACTCAAGGGACTCTTTCTGCTGCAGCCTCCTCAGTGCTTGGATTTTAGGTGTGAGGACACCATGACCAGCTTGGGGACTTTTGGCTGCTTTTAAAAAGACATTTTTTATGGTTTTGAAGGCATATGCTACAAGTCTGAATGAAACTCAAAGGAAGGTAGGAGAAGCAAAGCTTAAGTAGCATTTTGAACTAAGGCTGAAAATGCACCCAACTAAAAGGTCATGTTATCGGCTGATCAGATCTCAAAGGTAACATGCTGTCTGTTTTCAGAAGTCACATTTGTCAATCCCTGTCTGGGTTAGTGTCAGATCCCCAGTTTCTTCCTCTTGTGGTAAGTTCTTTGGTTGGTATATGGTGCTCAGGGAAAGCCTGTGTGCATCTGCCATTTACTCTGACTAGAACTACCTCAAAAGGATCAGCCTTTCAGTTCCTCTTCTGTCTGCAGTCTCTCTGAAGAGTAATCTTTAAATATGTTAAACAAGTATTTCCGGGTAGCCTAGCTTGAGCTCCCTCATGGTAATGTGTTACAGTAATCCAAAGATGCTAGCAGAGTCTATCCTCTATTGTTTTCTCAGGTCCCCAAAGATACCATTTATCTTGATTTTTTTTTTTTTTTTTGAGACAGGGTTTCTATGCATAGCTCTGGCTGGAACTCGATTTGTAGACCAGGCTGGCCTCAAACTCACATAGATCTGCTTGCCTCTGACTGGGATTAAAGGCATATACCACCACTGCCTGGCAATATCATTATCTTTATATTAAGTTTTTATTTTTTTTGTTTTAAGTATTTATTTTTGTTTGTTTTTTGAGACAGGGTTTCTCTGTGTAGCCTTGCTGTCCTGGGACTCACTCTGTAGGTCAGGCTGGCCTTGAACTCATTAGAGAAACACCTGCCACTGCCTCCTGAGTGCTGGGATTAAAAGTATGTGCCATCATCACCTGGCAAAGATTTGTATAATTAGCACTTACCACACAACTCTGCTAAATTAGTTTTCTTTTTTTTTTTCTTTTTATTATTTTAACAGGCCCAGCCATCCTATGTTGCTCTGGTGCATCTCCAGCTCCCAGGCTCATGGTAGTCCCCTGCCTCAGACTCCCCAGGAGCTGATGCCACCTTAACCAGCAAAAGGTAGGTTTGTGGATGCTCACAGTGATTCCTAATGTAGGTGCTTTTACTTAAATAGATGAAACTGTCAGTTGGTGGTGTGCTGGCTGTTTGGTGTCAGTTTTCTTCCAGTTAATATTGACTAGCATCAGTTCAGTTAGTTCATGAATATATTTATTTCCTGAGGTCAAACACTCCTGATTGGTCGTCCTAAAACACTTAATTTCAACATCTTGCCTCTTTTGGCAAGTGCTTTGAGCCACACTCCCCAGCCCTAAAGATGATTCTTTTAAACCTGCCAAGTTTGTGATTGTTAGATATTACCAACTAAGATGTTTATCTCATGGAGCCTTTCAATTAGCCAAGAACAATAATCACTTTTTTTTTCTTTTCTTTTCTTTCTTTTTTTTTTGGACACGTCCTTCTGCCTGGCCCAGTACTCACTATGTAGCCAAAGCTAACTTGGGGCACTCCTCTTGACTTAGCCTCCCAAGTGTTGGGATTACACATATGAACCATGCATACCCAGTTTAACCGCTATATTCCTAAAAGGGAAACTTGAAATAGTAAACCGCTGACAAAAAATAATAACTGTGATAAAAATATATTAAATTAGTTACTTTTTGGCCTGGCTTTAACTAGATGTCAGGTCTTGGTAACAAGTTATCGCTGGAGTTCAGTATTTATTTAAATTTCTTTTTCAGTCAGGGTCTCATGCATCCCAGACAGGTCTTAGAGTTCAATGTTTAATTAATAGCACATCTTCTCAGCTTCAGTTTGCACTTTTGAGTGTTAGGTACCTCTTTGGTTTTCCGGCTTTAAAGTTGATGGTAATAGTATGTTGTGAATCTGATAGATTTTCTAGAAGATAATACTATCTTTAAACCTTTGTTGGCCTAAAAGTCTCCTAAATTTCGCAGGATTTAAATTTATATGTATCCCAACGATAACAAATGCTGATGTGGATGTGGGTAAATGGGAAACCTTATACACTACTGATGGGAGTATAAACTAGTGTAGCCAGTTTTGAAATCAGTCTGGAATTTTCTCCCCTAAACTAGAAATAGGACTCAGCCATACCACTCATGGGCATATATCTTAAGTGTGGTTGTTTGAATAGAAATGCCCCCCATAGGTTCATGTATTTCAATGTTTGGTCCTTTAGGGAGGGGTGCTACTTGAGAGGGATTAGGGGGTGTGGCCTCTTGGAGTAGGTGTGGCCTTGTTAGAGTCTTTGGGAGTAGGTTTGGGGATTTCAAAAGCTCAGACCAGGCCCAGTGTCTGGCTCTTCCTGCTGCCTGCAGATCCGGACCTAGAACTCTCAGCTACTTCTGCCTGCCTGCCACGGTGCTCCCCGCTATGATGATAATGGACTAACCCTCTGAAACTAAGCAAGCCCCAATTCCACGCTTTCTCTCATGAGGCCATGGCGTCTGCTCACAGCAACAGAGCCCTGTCTAGGGAATCTGTATCCTACTAGAGGGACACTTGCACATTCACTCTCACTGATGCACTATACACAAAAGCTGGGAAGTGGAATCAGCCTAGATGTATATCAGTTGAGGAATGGGTAATGAAAATGAGCTACATGTGCAGAATGTAAGTTTATTCAGCTGTTAAGGAAAATGAAATTATGATATTTGCAGTTTAATGGGTGAAAGAGCAAGGCAACCCCCGGCCCAGAAAGGCAAATGCTGTATGCTTTCTCTCACATGCAGATCCTATCCTCAATTCTTTAGTTCTGTGTGTTTAACTTGGAGCACCTCAGAGAGCCAGGAAACTAGAAAAGGCCAGTGGGGTTCCCCCAAGGGAGGAGGGGTGATAGAACATTTTGTAAAATGAAGGTGGGGAAATATTGCTTGTGGAACAGTTCCAAGAGGGAGATAGGAAGAAGGAACAGGGCAGGGGAGTGTTAATCAAAATGAAGGGAAGGAATATGAAAAAAAACCAAACAATACTAAGAAAGCAATTTAAAAAACATAAAAGGGAGTGTGGAGGCAGATGCCTTTCAAGGTTAGATTTGCTGGTTGTAGAAGAGCCTTGTATCTTATTTTTAAAACACCGGGCTGAGTTGACTTTGGATTGCAGTGGAGACTCTCTCTCTCTCTCTCTCTCTCTCTCTCCTCTCTCTCCTCTCTCTCCCCTCTCTCCTCTCTCCTCTCTCTCCCCTCTCTCCTCTTTCTCCCCTCTCTCTCCTCTCTCCCCTGTCTGTCTGTCTGTCTGTCCTGGAACTAGCTCTTATAGACTAGGCTGGCCTGGAACTCACAGAGATTCGCCTGCCTCTGCCATCCCAGTGCTGGGATTAAAGGCGTGCGCCACCAATGCCGGATAAGACACTTTCTCAAAGTAAGGGTTTCTCTGGGGGTTCAGTTATTTTTTAAAAGATACTGAATACCTATTTTTTCTTCTGTCTGTTAAATATTTTAGTTAAAAAAAAACCCACCAATATTACACTGATATTTCCTGTCGATTCAGCGTTTAATAAGTTTAATCAGACTGCACCTGCAGAACAAGTAACAGACCCTAATCACTAACTACTGAATAGGTCGTTATGTTTTGAATTTACTTAGTCAGGAACGCGGGACAGAGTCAACTACGGGTACATTCCAGACGCTGCCTATGTTAACAGTAACACAGGGTTTCCTCTTGGCTGGCTTCGTTGTTGGAAGCCAAATACGCACATGTGTGTTCATTTTCAGACCTTGACTTCGTTGGTGAGGAATTTAACCCCACCTCCCGTCCAGAATGGAAAAACAACGCCCCCATTCCCGCCCTGCTTCCTCCCGCTTTAGTCCTCTCCAGTTACAGAAGTTCGGATTTTTTTTTCCTAGAGAGCTAGACGAAAGTCCGGCACCAAGAGTGGAGTTCAGAGTATCCATTTATTTGTTCTGCTGGGACCCGGGTGAGGAAATCACACTTTGTAACTTAGTCTCCAGGGGGAGAAGAGGCATGAATTCCTAAAAACTTGAGTTGCAGTGCTTGGCACCAGGTTTGATTGACAGAGACCGATTGAGCAAGAGCAAGGGGGCGGGGCTGCGGGCCGGGGGCCCCGGTTGAGACAAAGGGGCTTCAGCGGTCACCCGGAGAGGAAGGACCCTTACCGGCTGCTGCGCTCTAAGGGTGCATTTGGTGGCGTCTCTTTTTCCTTTGCAGGAAGGGCGCCTGATCGAGCGAAACGGGCTTGGCAGGAGGCAGCGGGAGGTGGAGAGGGGGTGCCGAAAGGGGTCCGGGTGGGGGCAGTGCTGTGTCACGTGGTCGTCGCTGCCGCCTCAGGGTTGGGGCTGTTCTTCCGGGTTGGAGGCGCAGCACCGCGGGCCGAGCCCGGGTCCGCCAGCACAGCGTGGCGTTTGCTCGCAGCCTGGGGGCTGCTGTCCTGCCTGCCGGTCCAGGTGAGGCAACCGGCCCTGCGGCGCCTGGGGGCTGCTGGAGAAGGCGGGCAGCCAGCGCTGACCCCAGGTCCCGCGGCGAAGGGGACCTGTCAGAGAGCAGAAGGGGGGCGGGGTCGGCAGAGTCTAGCAAATGGGGTGCAAAGGCTCCTGCAGGAGACAGGCAGGCGGAGAAGGAATACCGTGCCTTCAGGGCCTTCTTTTTGTGTGTGTATTCGATTGGGGTGACCGGGTGACATGGAAGGGAATGGAAGGGTGGATGTGGGAACAGGGTCCCGGCAGAGGACAGGCAACGAAGACAGCTGTTCAGGTGCAGATCTTGGATCCTGGGGTGAGGGTGGAAGCAAGGACTGCAAAAGTTGTACATGGCTATTTGGCCATAAGAGTGGTCGGAAGAGAGGTCATAGAGGACTTTTGATGAGCGGTGGACCTAGAAGAATGGCAGCTGGACTCCCCTAAGTTGTACTTGAACCTTGAGAGTGTTCAGGCAGAGTGCCCAGTTGGGTACATAAGAAAAGGTGTGAATGTAGGTCAGGACTGAGTGGTGGTAGTGGGGTGCCAGGTTCTACAAGAATGGGGGTTGTATTGGCAACGCAGGAGAGTGGGGTGAGGGTATAGGCCTGGGCAGAGCTGGTTCAAACTTGAGAGGGACAATGACTACTATGTGGCCAGAGCCAATGGGCTTCCACAGGAGGTTATAAATAGCTGTCCAGTTGCACGTGCCAGCGGGTGGCAGTTTAGTTGCTGAGGGAGGGGCACCACCTGTGACAGGGGCTATGGCACCCGTGGCTTTGGGCGAGGTCATGCTGCCTGCCAGGGTAGGGTACTGTGTCCTTGTTGGTATGCCTAGCTTTTAAGAAGCATGACTTTGTTTGTGCTTGCAGGTGTCCTTTATTCGTCCTGTGGCTGTGTGCAGTCATTAGGAAACTTTGTCTAGAGGGATGGAGCTTACTTGCCCACTGAACCCCATTTTTTGGGCAAATGTCAGTTATTTTTCCGTTCTTATTTTAGTATTTTTATCCTATTTTTTTATTTTGAGACGAGGAAGATCTCACTCTGTAGCTTTGACTGGTTTGAAACTCTATGTATAACCCAGGCTAGCTTTGGAATTGATTTGATCCTCCTGCCATAACCTCTCCAGTCCCGGCATCTACAACTATGAGCCACCTCTCAGTTCCGTCCATTTTCTTTCTTTTTTGTTTATTGCAAGGACAGTTTAGGATTATTCTAGTATCGGCAAATAGTTTATCTTTGCTGATGGGATTGGTTTTCTACAAGGCTGCACAAACATTTTGTTTCCAAAGGAAAAGTTCTGAAACTCTGTTTCAGAAATCTATTGAAAAATGGTTCTAGGATCCCCAGACCTAGTCCTTTAAGCGTTCTGTCAAAAATATTAATTGACTTACTCTGTTTAGTGCAAGGCACTGGGCCAAGGATAATAGCTGTGAGTGGAACAACCAATCAGGAGTTTGTGTTCTTTAAATCCTCTACACAACCCTGTGATCAGGGCATTTTGGTTTAATCCTCACAACTCTATGAGGTAGGTTTTTACTATTATTCTGACCTTAAAGATAAGGAAATCAGGCACAAAGAAACTGGGTGATTCAAGAAGGTCACCCTATAATTGCAGAAGGGGCTTCCAACCCAGAGTTCATACTTATAGTCTTCTATGCTATCTTCTTTTGCTAGTTCAGGTGTTTGCCTTAGACTCTAGAATATTAATATTTGTTTGGGGAAGGTTGAGGATGTAGTTCAGTGGTACTGTACTTTCCTAGTATGTGTAAGGTCCTGGGTTTTATCCTTGGCAACACACACACACACACACACACCTACCTATCTACCTACTGGGGAGGCAGTTATCCTTATAACTTACATCATGAAGCTTCATGAATGCTATACAAAGCAGGTATTATATTCTTTTAAACTTTGAGTTGCAAAATTATCCCAATGTTGAGTCAAGGCTTGAGAAATACATGGAAGATCAGGTAATTGAGAATTTTGAAGTGAAGAAAAAGGGAAAATGTGACATTTTTGGAATAAACATGAATTAGCCAATGATAAAATGGTTCAGATATTTTCTGAATCCCTTTCAGAACCATTTATATTTAAATTAGGGCAAGTGCAGTGGACTTTTCTTGCCAATAAACAACCTCCTGATATTTGCTTTATATGTTTAAGGCTTGAATAACTTTTTGTTTATTTAAGATTGGGCTCCTGATATATGGTGCCCCTATTAGAGATCTGTTCAACACCAAATTATTATTTTCCAAGTAGACAAGACAATCATGGATTTTCTAGAGTCTAAAAGGACTTAGCAAACTGCAGTTTTCTACCACTTTTGTTGGCTAATGGGTTGAGGCCCAAAGTATAAACAATCAGGAAGTGGCAGACTTGGGCCATGTAGGGCTCCATTAAGGCCAGTTTCATTGATTTGCTGATGAAGTCTGGGGAAGTTTGGCCAACACACTGAGAACAGTGGTTGCAGGAACATGGGATTGCCCGAGAAGAGAAAGGGCCTCTCAGATTCTGTCCTTGGGTCACATTTGTTGAATTAAAGGGCATCTGATTAATAAGCAACTCCTGCATTGACAATTCCTGTCACCAGTGTGCCCTCTTGGTGTTTTAACGAAGTTTATTTAGGAAGTTGTAGTAACAGCTCTGAGATTTAAAATGAGCTAAATACTTCTCTGATGCCTGGAAGAGTGCTTGTAGAGCCAGCTTGGATTGAATGGTTGGCCCAATGAGATTCCATGGCATGGATCAGCACCTACAGGCATAGTGGGTAATATTAGCCAGGTTTGACTGATAGGCTTTAGACCCTCTGCTTCTTCCCATTTTTGAAGCAAAGAGAAATGTAGAGGAATGTGGAGAGTATAGAGATGCCTTCTGTGCATCCCTGGTGATCTGTCAAACAGGGCAAAGGTGCTGAAGATACAACAACAAAGTGATACTTCAGCTAGTTCTGTTAGGATTGGTAATGAGTGGCCACATTTTGGCTAAATAAACTTTATTATAAAAAAACTTGCAAATAATACTGGCCACTGTTGAGAACCACTTCCAAAAGAGTTCACAGTTATATGCACATCTGCAAGCACAGCCTGAAGTAGTAAAGATATTATGAGATTTTTTTGAGTCTTATCCTATGCATATTTATTTTCTTGAGAGGTAAACATGAATATCATGTTCATTTAGGCATAGATCAGGAGATCTTACTGGCAGAACTGAGTATTTTACTGCAGCAGATAGGATGACAATGTGTTTTGTATAATTTAGTGCCTACCAGTGCTTTTTTTTAAGATAACTTAGGGGAAATTCAAATGTAACTTGATTATATGTAACTTTTTGGAAAATATGTTGACTTAGAAGATAGCTTTAGTGCAAGATGTGGTTTAGCTCTGATGTGTGTATGCATACATACACACACACACACTTATGTGATTCAGGCTTGGAATTTGATGCTAAATTTATAATCCCAATTTTAGGTAGGAATTGGATTTCAAATTTTAAAAGCCGAATTCAAAACAATTTTTGAAGTGTTGTCTACAAGTAAAAGACTTGACAGCCAAACTCTTTGTAGATGGCAGCATACAAATGTCTTCCAGATATAGGCCTTTAGATGAGCAGTTTATATGGTTTATCATGCTCAAATGGCAAGGTAGTTTTTTCTTGGCATATAAACATTTCCTTTTCTTTCTTTTTAGAAATTCACCTTCAAAGATTCAGTGATTCGGAAAGCTGGGAGCACAAAGCAGCATGGCACATCTACTGAAAGCGGTGGTGACTGGCTGTTCATGTCCTTTCCTTGGCAACTTTGGGTCCTGTAAGGTTCTACCTGGGAAGAAAGGCCTTTTACGATCAATTCATATTCATCAGGCACTGTGGTGTAAATCACCTGTAAAACCAGGTAAAAATTTACTTCACTGTGTGCTTCAAGTCCTCGATGATACATGCAAGGAAAACTCAGTATATTTTTATGACCCCGGTACTTGTGGGTGATCATTATACACAGAAAACAAAATGAGCATTGTTTTTTTCTTCATATTTTCCACTTACAGAAATTCCATTGCCATTGCTAACAGAGAAGAAGAAAAAAAAAAAAAGGTTAACTGGTTGTATTGTATTTGGGAGCCTTTTGCTCATAGTAACCATTTCTCCTAGCAGCCTTCCTTTGTTCCTAGAAGGTATTGGGGAATTGTGCCATATATAGTTCACCTCTGCTCAGGAGTTAGCAATGAAGTGTATTAACTCATTACAAGAATACTCCTTTATTTGGTAAAAAGCAACCCTACTGCAGTTCATGTCAGAAATGTTAGCCATCCTACATGCTGTTAATAGCTACTGTTGAGCTTGGTTTTTGTATCTGTTTATATATATGTCTGTGTGTCTTTGGACACATGGACAAGTAACCTCTGAGACCAGAAGTGGGTGTTTGGTTCCCTGTAGCTGGAGTTACAGGCAGTTGTTGGTGTCTTGATGTGGATTCTGGGAACCAAATGTGAATCCTCTGGAAGAGCAGCAAGCACTTTTTTTTTTTTAATTTTTAGCCATGAAAAGTTTTATTTTACTTATGTAATATAATTTTGCTTATGTAATACAATTCTATTTCCCCTTTCTAAAATGCAGCAAGCACTCTTAACCACTGAGCCATCTCTCCAGCTCCACCATTACCACTTTTATCACTTGGGTTCAAACCATCATTCTCTGTCACTGAAGTGATGCATGAGTTCCCTAAATTGTTTGTGTGCTTTCAGCCTCTGCCCTCCTACTGTTCGTCCTGCACATGGTAATGCACATACCCTTCTAAAACTGTAAGAGCACACCAGTCCTTTCTTCAAAACCACTACTGTCTGCTTGGCTCTTAGAGAACAAGAATGAAGGTTTCCAGTGGCCCATCAGGTCTTCTCTGATAGGAGAAGTCTCACTTGTTTCTGTCTAGGTGCAGGCCAGATGGAGGAGAGGCTCAAGGGGTCACCTTCTAAGCTGAGTCACCTCTTGTAGCAGTCTTCCCAAGGCTTGTCCCAGCAACACTGCCACTCATTGGCCAGACCTTAAGCATGTGGACATTTGTCAGGAAGACTCAGACATTTAGTTTTTATTCCAGATGGCATTATGCCCAGCTAAGAATGGCATTTCATTCCTAAGATGAAAGAATGGCATGGATATTTCTTCTTTCTCTTAAGGCTTGCAGGGCTGTTGTCTAGTCACCAAGGAGCTCTGTTACCTTGAATAGACTTTGTAGCCACTCTCCGTGTTCTCAGATGACAAATCACTGTTGGCATCGTACCGTTTCCCAAGTTTATCTTCAAAAACTTCCCTTTAATCTGCTCTGCAAAGCCAGGTTACCTAGTGATAAAGCTGATAAGATAGAAGCAAATGAAGACTGTATTTGTGAATAAATCTATAGACATCAAGATCTCTGCATTAATATGTTCAATTTTTGATTTTTTAAAAAAATTTTTCTCAACTATTTTTAAAAAATATTCTTTTTCTATAATAAAATATTAATTATCACATTGAAAAGCATGAAAAGTAATTCCAGGCAGTGTGGTGATATATTGTTTGTGATCTAATAAAACTTGCCTAAAGATTAGAATGCCATAGAAGCCAGGCACACACCTTTCACCCCAGCAGCCACACTAGTTAGCCGTAGAGGCTGGGCAGTGGTGGTGGTGCACACCTTTAATCCCAGCACTAGAGAGGTATATAAGACAGGAACACAGGGTCTCATGCAGCATTGAGTCTCCAGCCACACTGACAGGATCACCCCGGCCTTGGTAGAGATAAAAAAATCTCTAGTGGTTGGCTGCTTTGCTTTCTGATCTTCAGCTTGAACCCCGATATTTTCTTTGGGTTTTTATTATTTGTGTTACAAGTCAGTATTCCAATTTTTTCAATTGCTTCTTTTCTTTCTTACCACCCCCACTTTTTTTTTTTTTTTGAGAAAAGATTTCTCTCTATGTAATCCTGACTGTCCTGGGGCTTGCCATGTAGACCAGGCTGTCTTGCCTCTGCCTCCCTAATGCTTGGATTAAAGTTGTGTGCCACCATACCCAGCTTCTATTTTTATAGTAGGCTTGCTCAAAGAATGGGCTAGAGTTCATGCGCTATATTTGCTTGCTATGTCTCTTATGACATATAAAAGACTTTTTCATTACTGGAAATCAGACCCAGGCCTTCAAACATGCTGGCCAGGTATGTGACCTGCCCTCCTACTGTTCGTCCTTCACTTGGTTACATCCTCAGCCCCTCCTTCCTACTTTTCTCCCTTTACTCCTTGAAGAATACAGTTGTTACTTGGTAGAATTTCCAGTGTTCCAAATTTGACTGATAGAGTTTCCTTGATTGGTTCTGCTGAATCAGTTTCTCTTCCTCATATTTTTTGGTAACATTTAGCTATACCAGAAATCTCTGTCAGCTTAAGGATACATTTCTGACAGGAATACCTCACTGGTAGCGGGTGTTGTAGATTATTGTATTACATCAGGAAGAATGCTTGGTAAGTGTAGGAGCTATTCTTGTGATCAGTCTGATATGAAGTGCCTATCAGCTTTTTTCTGTTCATATACTTTCAGATGCTTTGATTGATGGTCCTTAACTAAATTCATGATTTTATTAGGACTTTCGAAATGGTGAGGATCTATCATTCTTCATTTATCAGCTACAATTTTTCTATAAAGGAAATGCATTTTCTCTGTTGTTTAGTTGTCTTGAGATGGAACTGGAATGCTCCATCTCCACGAATAAATGCTCTTTCCCATGACTTATTAGTTTTGCTAACAGTTGGCTCCCTTATGTGCTGATTTTCTACCCCCACTGTAACAAATAATCATGAGCCTACTGGCTTTTTAACCTCTGGAAGTCAAAGTCCAAAGGAGTTGTCACTGGGCCTTTGTCCAAATGTTGGCAGTTCTGCCGAGTCCTGGGAACTGTTGAGGAGAATGTTTCCTGTAGTTTCCCAGCTTCTGGGGAGCTGGTTGTGGCCCTGTCCTATCTTGACAGCCTCAGTGTAGCATCTTCTCATTGCTTCTTGACTAGGACTCTTTGGTTTCCCTCCTTTACATGTAAGGACTCTGTGATTGCATGCAGCATTCAAGCTAACTCAGGGTATTCTTCCTACTGTAGTCCAAATGATTAGCAACCTTAAGTTTATCTGCCATCAGAATTCTCCTATAGATAATGTATTCAGAGGTTGTAGGGATCAGGACGTGGAAACCCTCTTGGGAAGCTGTTATTCTGCACATCACTTTGCATATTCTCTCTAAGTTGAGCAATAACATTTAAAAGACTAAGTACTTTTTTCTGATAATCAACATGAGCTCATGGATTATAATGTCTTTGGAAGCATACTTTGGAAGCACTCTGGACTTCCCAGTTACAGCTTGTTGTTCTTTAAATAGCCACAATTGCTTTGCCTGCCAGTGTTTCCCTGACTTCTCTTTGATGATTGCCTCATGGCCTCATTGACAAATAACTTCTATATATCCACTCTCCTAGTCTCTTTCTGTGGCTTCTCTGTTTAAACCTTGTAGGAGAGAACACCATTTGGTATGTACTTTAGTTTCTTTTCTGTTTCTGTGATAAAAACACCATGCCCAAAAGCAATTTGGGGAGGAAAGGGTTTATTTCAGCTTATGACTTTCAGGCTACATTCCATCATTGAGAGAAGTCAGGGTAGGAATTTAAGGTAAGAACCTGGAGGCAGGAGCTGAAGCAGAGGTCATGGAGGGACTCTGCTTATTGGCTGCTCCTTGTGGCTTGCTCAGCCTGCTTTCACATACTATGCAGGATGATCTGCTCAGGGGTGATACTGCACCCAGTGAGCTGGGCCCACCCACATCAATCATCAACTAAGAAAATTCACTATAGACTTCTCTACAGGCAAATCTTCTGGAGGCATTTTCTCAATTCCTCTCTTCCCAAATGTTCTATCTTGTGTCAAGTTGACAGAAAACTAGCCAACCCAGTAGGTTAATCAGTGGCCAACATGGACTGTCCCGAATCCACAATTCCTCTGTAAGTCATGTCTTAGACAGTGGCTTCTGGCTTCTCTCATGTTTGGCTTGTAGATGATTATCTTTGACCTGGTTGCTGAACTCTTGCCTAATCATTTGCTGGTGGAGTCTCAAGATCCAGCATTTGGAAATCTCTGGGAAATTTCCTCTGGCCAAATTGCCAGGAAAGAGACTTGAGATGTGGCAGACATTAAAGTATCTATTGTAAAGCTATTTAGCAGTATTTTATTTCTGTCTTTATTAAAGGCCAGGATAGGAAGATTATAACCCCAGAGGGCGGAGGAGGGAGGTTAGCATGGTGTGTGATATCTCAACTCAGGTATTTTTCTGTTATGGATAGAGAAAACTTATCATGTGCCTTAAAGAGAGGCATTCAATTAAGTAAAATATCTAGTGTGTTCAGGGCATTTTGTACAAAAATTGATCACTTTCAAAAAAGATAAATGGATCACAATTATGAATCATTATTTTCAGTAACAACTTGTGTATAGTATGCTTTGAAGAACAGACTTACCTGATGTCTCCTTTGAAACATGCTCTTCAGCTTTTTCTAAACTTTGGCTTTGTTTGTTTTTAGGAATTCCATATAAGCAGCTGACAGTTGGGGTCCCCAAGGAGATTTTCCAAAATGAGAAGCGAGTAGCATTGTCTCCTGCTGGCGTTCAGGCCCTGGTCAAGCAGGGCTTTAACGTTGTTGTGGAATCAGGAGCAGGCGAAGCTTCCAGGTTTCCAGATGATCTCTACAGAGCAGCAGGGGCCCAAATCCAAGGGACGAAGGAAGTCCTGGCTTCTGATCTGGTGGTCAAAGTAATTATGCCTTTTTTTCTTCCTTTTGTAGTTTCTTTTCCTTTTTGAGACAGGGTCTCACTGTGTAGCTTTAGCTGGCCTGGATCCCACAAAGATCTGCCTCAGCCAATGTTGGGATTAAAGCAACTCTGGCTTTTCCAGTTTTCTTAGTGCTCTTCTCTTTGCTTTTAATTGGCATATAATAATTGCCCATATTCATGCACTGTGATATTTTGATATGTATATGCAATGTAATTATCAAATCAGAGCAGTTTGCATATCCATTGTATTAAATATTACCCATTTCAGCTTTTCCAGTTTTAAAATCATGCTCTTTTCCTCAATGAGATAATTCTGTATTGTGAATATTCTTTATGTCCCAGGATATGTGACCAGTTTTTAACCATTGAAGGGAAATGGAGATCTTCATATTTATATTCTCTGGGTGGAAGTTTCTTCTAATTGACTAGGGAAAGTTTTTGCTGCATGGCCCATGTATATGCAGACTTCCTGCTGTTGATTATATACTGCTAGGATGAGAAGAAAACATTTAATCCAGCCTGGGATGCCATGTGCGGCATCTGATGACTGAAGGCAGTTATTTACACTGACACTGTGCTGTTGTTCTAGAAATGGCGGGAACATTCTGGAGGATGTAGCATTGGGTTGAGTGACCAGTAGGCTAACTGACCTTTAAAGGTCTAGGGATGGCGCAGAGGTTAAGAGCACTAATTATTCTTTCAGAGGACCCAGGTTCAATTCCCAGCACCCACATGGCCGCTCACAACTGTCACAACTCCAGTTCCTGACACCCTTACATGGGCATACACGTGCAGGCAAAACATGTAAAAAAAAAAAAAAAGTCTTGAGATATCAGACAGCAGAAATCTTTGTGCTGAGGAACTTTATAACTAAAATATGAAGAAAAAATTAGATAAAAGGCTGTACTGAGTTTAACATGGAAGATAACTATAGTAATGCCTTAAATTTAAACCATTAAATATCCCACAACTTAGGCAAGGAGAGAAATAGGGATGAGAAAAGTGTGATTATTACTAGGTTAAAGCAAACTCACTTTCTTTATAGAAAAAAAATAAGTTTTTCTTTTCTTTATTAATTGCTAAGAGGAATCACTCAAATAGTTGTATTTCTTTCCTCTCCACAACTCTAATGAATAGCATAATGGTATTCTTGAGGCTGAGATTGAAGCCAGGTCCTCAAGCATGTTAAGCATGAGCTCTACCACTTAGTGACATCCTGACAGCATGATGGGGTGATTTTTGAGAAGATACAAAATCAGTTTTTGCTATAGAAAGTTATTTATAGAATTTATGGTATAAATATAAGTTGTAATTTAGCTAGAACTTTAAAAAAAGTTTTGGATTTGCATATACTTGACAATACTCTTGATATATAGGAAAATAACTTATAGAAAGTAAAAAAAAAAAGTACAACCCATTTCAGAATATGTTTTAGGACCCAAACCTTTTTGAGATAGCTCAAAAGGGAGGGGGGAGAGATATTAAGTGATTACACAAATTTGAAAATATTCTGTGTTCCTCCTAGCAATTCTTTTATTAAAATTGAACAAGTTATTAAACAAGTGCATGAACAAGATAAAGCTGTGTTGAGAAATGTGTACTATAAAAACTTAGATTTGACCCAGTTCCTCTCTACTGAATGGAGCCTGTTCACGTCCTGAGGAACACATTCAGGAAAACAGTCGCTTGGGTTGACATGCTCAGGTGACAGTAGTCTCAGCTGAACAGTTGATAAGGGCCAGTAGGATCAACTCTAATTAGCAGTCCTCTTATTTTTTCTTAATCTCTGAAGTAGATTTTTACGGAGAGAAAAAAAGCAGACCTTATAAAAGAGGTGGTTATGTGTATGTGCGTACACACGTGTGCACATGCATGTGTGTGTGTTGCTGGTTTCACACATGCCAGGTAAGTACTCTACCGAATCATATCTCTAGCCCAAAGATTTGAAAAGTTCTCAGCCCAGAGTCACATGAATCACCAGCTCAACACCTGGCATAGGAGTAATAGGCAAAGGTGTCAGGTAAGTTAAGATGAAATGCCATACTAGGAAGCAATGGAACCAGTGTTTTTGTTTGTATTTAAAATGCAAGTCATACAGGCTATGTTTTGTATATTTATTTCACACAAAACAAATATAGTAAAACATATATATATATGCCATACATACTGCATATATAATATACTATATCAATATATATTGACAATATATTATTGTCATTATAATAATATACTAAAGCTAGGGTAAGCTTAATTCAGTAGAGATACTGGTTTGAATTGTGTTTTTTTATAGGAATGGAATTTAAAGTGACATAAATCTATACCATGAAGTCTTTAGTTGACAGCATTATTAATGTCTCACTTCCCCCTATATTTATATTTGCCCAAATTAATAAAGATTGAGGACTGAGTCTTTCTTTTTCCTTTTTCTTTCATTCATTCTCTTTTCTTTTCTTTTCTTTCCTTTTCTTTTTCTTTTTGAGACAATGGTTCACTCTGTAGCCCTTGTTGGCTTCTGACTGGATTTGTGAACTAGGCCGTTCTCCCACTCAGAGAGATCTGCTGACCTCTGCCTCTGCAGTGCTGGGATTAACTATGCACACTACCACTCAGTTCTAGGACTGAGCCTTCAAACACAAAACAAATGTTTTTCTGTCTTTTTCCCCTAATATCTGTTAATTTTTAACAGAGTAGTAAGTTTGGGGAGATGAGGTTCATTGTAAAATCTTTATAATATTTCAGAGCTCTGCAGTTGTCACACCTGATCTGGTGCTGTGTATTCCCAGGGTGTGTGCTTTTTACTCAGAACGGTTTACCCAGGCCGCTAGTCACAGGTAGGCAGTATACATCTTCATATACATCTTCATGTGGTTATGTATGTTGGTTACAAGATAGTCAGTATACATTTTCATGTGGTTAAGTATGTGAGTCACAGGGTAGGTAGCATATATCTTCATGTGGTTAAGTATGTAAATCACAGGGTAGACAGTATATATCTTCTTGTAGTTAAGTATGTTAGTCATAGGATAGATAGTACATATCCTTATGTAGTTAAGTATGTGAGTCACAGGGTAGGCAGTATATATCTTCATGTGGTTAAGTACAGGTAGATGCTTATAGATGAAAGATTTACCTCAGAAGTATTATTTAAATAACAGTGTCTTACATAGATTATCCTATTTACTTAAAAGACATGATGAAGGCACTGATGGTTTTAATCTGTGGTTTGACTTTTTTTTTCAGGTGAGAGCGCCCATGGTCAATCCAGCTTTAGGCGCTCATGAAGCTGACTTTTTAAAGCCATCGGGAACTCTCATTAGCTTCATTTACCCCGCCCAAAATCCAGATTTGCTAAATAAACTTTCTGAAAGAAAAACTACAGTTCTGGCAATGGACCAGGTTCCAAGAGTCACAATTGCTCAGGGGTACGATGCTCTCAGCTCCATGGCCAACATTTCTGGGTAGGTATATTCTTTCTCCCTTCAGTTGAACAGAAACGTGGGAAGGGGGCATGGGCATTCATATTGCAGGTCTTCTAGAGTTTTACCTTGTCGTAACTGTTGGGGACTGAGCTTTTTACACTTCAATTAGCTTTTATGGTTTATTTTAGTTTTTTTTTTTTAAATAGTAATATATGTTACATGTCTTATCTTTGTAGTTGGAAGCAAATATCTACACTTACCAGAGGAAATAGCTGCCAGAGTGTTTGCATGAGGAAGCTATTTTTTTATGTTGTTTATACATGCATTGTATTGTTTTTATAGATCACTAGTATTTGAATACCGGCAGTTTTATGTGTTTTAATGGGATACAGGTTGAGAGCCACTGAAAATTTGGGACCAGAAGTGTATCAGATTTCAGGCTTTTTCAGATTTGGAATATTTGTATAATAAGGTGTCTTGAGCATGGGATGCAAGTATACACCTGGGATTTATTTATGTTCCATATGCATTTTATACACATAGGTAGTCTGTAAATAAGTTTTGGTAATATCATATATGAAATGGTGCATTTCAGAAGGTCTTTTTCCCTTTGAGGTATTTTGAATACCGTGTTGAGCTTTTGTATTTGAACTGTGACCCATGTTTTCTGCAAGGTTAGGTATGGGACTTTCTGCTTGTGATAATGTCAGTGCCCAGTGTGGAACAGTTTTGATTTTGGATTTTATATTAGCAGTGCTTGGAATGCTGTATTATTAGTTAATTAATGAACTATTTTGTAGTCTAACTATGAAGTTCAGGCTGGCCTAGAACTTGATATGTAGTTCAGGGTAGCCTCAGGCCTCAAAGTTGTGATCCCCCGTCTCAGCCTCCTGAGATCTGAAATTCCAGGCACATATCATTATGCCTAGAGTGATCATCTTGCTTAGGTTTCCTCTAGTAAATTCATAAAACAGTTAATGAATCAAGAACATTTCCACTAGAGTGGAGTTTTACCTTGTGTCAAAGTCTGTGTTTCTGACTTAAGCCTGTTCTCTTACTTCTGAGGCCACAATAACAATGGACTTCATTTTGCCTGTCAGCACTGCTACATTCCCTGTTTCTATTCTATTTTTTTTTTTTAGAACTCACCACTTTACCCCCCCCCCCACAGGGTTTCTCTATGTAGCCTTGGCTGTCCTGGAACTCACTTTGTAAACCAGGCTGGCCTTGAGATCTGCTTGCTTCTGCCTCCAGAGTGCTGTGATTAAAGGTGTGTGATGCTGCCCCCCCCCCCGAATTTTTACTTAATAATATTTTTTCATAATTCTAAACAATCTTTTTTATTAATTTTAAAATTTAAATTAAAACAATCTTATTTTGCATCCCAATCCCAGTTCCCTCTCCCTCCTGTCCTCCCTCTCCCCTCACTATCTCCCCATCCCAACCCCTCCCATATACACCTCAGAGAGGGTGAGGCCTCCCATGGGAGATCATCAAATTCTGTCATATAATTTGGGGCAGGACTGAGGCCCTCCCCCCTGTTTCTAGACTGAGAGAGTATCCCTCCATAGGGAATGGGTTCCAAAAAGTCAGTTCATGCACTAGGGATAAATACTGATCTCACTGCCAGAGGCCTCATAGCCTGACCAGGGCTCCCAGCTGACACCCATGTTCAGGGGGCCTAGTTTGGTCTTATGCAGGTTCCCCAGCTGTTAGTCTGGAGTCTGTGAGCTCCCACTTGCTCAGGTAAGCTGTTTCTTTGGGTTTCCCCAACATGGTTGTGACCCCTTTGCTCATCACTCATCCCTCTCTACAACTGGATTCCAGGAGTTCGGCTCAGTGAATCTCTGCTTCTGCTTTCATCAGCTACTGGATGAAGGCTCTAGGATATCATATAAAGTAGTCATCAATCTCATTATAGGGGAAGGGCATTTAAGGTAGCCTCTCCACTATTGCTTAGATTCTTAGTTGGGGTCATCCTTGTGGACTCCTGAGAATTTCCCTAGAGCCAGGTGGTTACTACTATAACATTTGTACCACTATTATATCCTCACTACTGACACTGGGCTTTTTTTTTTTTTTTCAATTCATGGCTTCTGGGAGGAACATTATCTCCATGTGTAGAGTAACTTCAATTAAACACAAATACACACACACACACACACACACACACACACACACACACACACCCCTATATATGCTTATAAAAGTAGTAGGTTTCTATATGACTTTCCCAAACATCCTTAGCAATTAAAACATTGTTGGAGGCATCACCATTCTTGATTTCAAATTATACTACAGATTTACATTAAAATAACATGGTACTGTCATAAAAATAGACATATATTGATCAATAGAATAGAACCAAGAACCCAGATTCCATATACCTACAGTCAACTGATTTTTCACAAAGATGAGGAATGATAACATCTTTTACAAAACTGGATATCTACTGGTAGAAGAAACTTGGTCCGATCTAAACACTGAGCTGAACTCTGGAATTCAGTTGCAGAGAGGGAGGAGTGATGAGCAAAGGGGTCAAGACCAGGCTGGAGAAACCCACAGAAACAGTTGACCTGAACAAGGGGTTGCTCATGGACCCCAGACTGATATCTGGTAAACCAGCATAGGATTGTTCCAGACCCCCTGAATGAGGATGTCAGTTTGGATGTCTGGACAATCTATGGGGCTTCTGGTAGTGAATCAGTATTTATCCCTAGTACACTAATGGACTTTGGGAGCCCACTCCACATAGAGGGATACTCTGTCAGCCTAGACACATGGGGGACGGTCTAGGCCCTGCTCCAAATGATATGACAGACTTTGTCGATCCCCATGGAAGACCTCACCCTCCCTGGGGAGCAGAAAGGGGTTTGGTGTAGGGGGTGGGAGACAGGGGAGGAGGGGAGGGAGTGGGAACTTGGATTGATTTGTAAAAGAAACATGTTTAAAATTTGTCTAATTACAAATATATATGTATGTATGTATGTATGTATGTATGTATGTATATATGTAAAGAAACTTGGTCCTTACCTCTCACCATGAACTCAGATCAGATCCAAGTTGGACCAAAGACCTCACTGTTAGATCTGAATCTCTAAGACTTCTAAGAGGTAGTGTAGTATACACAGGATCTAGCTATGTAAGGGACTTTCTGAATAGGACCTCAGTCACTCAGGAAATAGGGCCAGCAATCAACAAGTGGGACTTCATGAAATGAAAAAGCTTCTGTCCTGAAAAGGAAACTATTAATCAAAGGAAGAGTCAGCCCACAGAATGGGAGAGATTCCAAGTGTCTTCTACCAAATGTTACATAGAAAGATCTAAGATCTGCTCTGCTTGCAGGAGTGTGCCCATGACCATGCTTGTCATGTCGTGAGGGACAGGGATGGTCACTGACTTCCTGCAGGGGTGGGAACATCTGGAGTAGGGTAATGCTTAGCAAAACAGCTTCTCAAAGAAACTAATTGAATTAGATTTTCAGCTAATGTGAGTGGGACACCAACAAAAGTATTAAAATGGAAAACAGTGCATGCAAAAAAAACAACAATATGAATAAAGTCTTTCACAGAATCTTGCGTGACCTGGAAGGTTCTTAGGTTTTTGTTTTCTAAGTCTATCATTCTGTGTGTGTGTGGATGAGTGAATTTGGGCATACATGTATGGTGGTCAGAGCCAGCTTTCAGGAGTAGGTTTTTCTGCCTCATTGAGGAAGGGCCCCTTGTTTGTACTGAACTATGCGCTCCAGGCTAGCTGGCTTGCATCATCCTCCAGGTGATCCTCCTGTCTTCACCTCCTGTCATGCTAGAGCTGTGCTAGGATTACAGATTTGCACTACCATTCAGCTTTGAAAACATGGGTTCCGGGATCACTGTGAGGTTCTGTGAGGTTCACATGGCACTTTTATCTTCTGAGTCATCTCACTGGCCTTAGTTTTATGTTTTAGATGTAACATTTAAACTATGCCATGCATTGGATATGCTGCAGAATCTGCTTTGTGTTTCAGCTGTTCACCCCATTCTTGTGGGTTGTCATATGTTAAAATTAAAGCAAGTTAACTCGTTTTGGGGGCTGCAGTGATAGCTCACTCAGTATAGTGCTTGGTGCACATGCCTGAAGGACCCGAGTTTAATCCCTAATGCCCATGTAAAAGTTCCCTAGCCTCCCCCTCTCCTCCTTTACTCATTTCCCTCTTCTCCCTCCCCTTCTATTTATTCCCTCTGCCTGGCATCCCAACTGATCCTTTCTCTAACCAAGCTATTGGCTGTTTAGGTCTTTATTAGACCAATCAGGTATTTTAGACCAGCAAAGCAGCAGAGCCTTACAGAGGTAAACAAATACAACATAAAAGAATGTAACTCATCTTTGCATCACTAAACAAATATTCCACAGCATAAACGAATGTAACACATCTTAAACTAATATTCCACAGCAGGTTGAAGGGGCAAGTATATAAAAAATGCTTAGAAATAATCTTGCCATAGAGTACTATATAAACATTATGTTTCTGCAGTTAGGTAGCTGGCAGGTTATAATAATCTATGGACTCTTTGCCTTTTATTTTATTGTGGTTTCTATTTTTTTTTTCAGTTATAAGGCTGTTGTTTTAGCAGCGAATCATTTTGGAAGGTTTTTTACTGGTCAGATCACAGCTGCTGGAAAAGTCCCTCCAGCTAAGGTACGTACAACTTCCAGTGTTTCTTCAAGAGAAGAATTGAAGGTGTCATAAAATAACTATTTTTAAACGCGTTGCTGTGTGTTAGCTTCACTGATGCTTTTGTACTTTGACATCTAAAGTAAAGCCTTAGTGTTGAACATTTAATACTGCCTGAGAAAGAAACTTTTGGCTTTTTGCTTGTTTTTTTTTTTTCCAGGTTTTGACTTATTTCAATTCTTAAATGGATTTTGGCTAGATTGATCTGTGGGCAAATTTACATTTATTTTTTAAAATGCTTCAAAGTATTTTTCAGTAAATCTGTAATTCTTGATTCCTGCAACATCATTAGATTGTAGAAAACACTTCGATTTCTTCACCCTTGTCTATTTTCTGGGAGGGGTGGCAAGGGGACAGGAAGTAACGGGATTTGGTATTAAGTTTATGAAGGAAAAAAAAAAAAGCAGGCCATGGGAAAAAAAAAGCAAGTCCTTTAAAGGAAGGCCCCAGTGATTAGCAAGAATGTATACATGAACTCCGTAGATGTATGGTTCACGAGACATTGAACTTCATATGTCTGAAATATGAAAGTTCATCTTATTGCATAAGATCATGAGGAAATGTCTGGCATTCAGACTGGCCATAAACTTGATGCTGTTCCTAAGCTGGCTGAATGTGTCGATGTGTGAGCCAACAACTTAGTTTTGATTAGGATCTTTGTAGAAAGGTATGGACATGTAGAGGTAATTTCTAATAGGGGATTAAAAATGTGAGACAAAAACTAAGAGGCTTAATAGGAAAGTCAGTGAATTAGTAAGAGATGGAAAGGTGACTGTGTCTACTAATGTTGGAATTCAGTGGCCCAGGGGTAAAGGCTTCTGCCTGCAAGCCTAATGACCTGAGTTCAATTCCTGGGACCAGCTGGTAGAAGGAAAAAAACCCTACAACTGTGAGTTGTCCTCTGACCTCCACATGTGTACTGTGGCACGTTTTCCTCTCCCCTACCCCTTGCACGCAAATAAATGACATGTCACTAAGAAATAAATTCAACTTAAGTAGCTTTGGTTTGATGTGAGAAATAATTTTCTAAAGTTGAAGAATTAGATCCCATGAGGCTTATCATGCAGAATATTTAAAAATTATTTTCAAACTTGTCTAGAATGAAGTAAAATCATTTTAATATATATGATGTGTTGAGTACTCAGTTTAAGCAAAAGGGACAAGTCTGAACAAGATAAACACCATTCCTACTGCACAAAAACTGCATTCCAGTGTGAGTCATGAGGATGGGAAAACCAACCCATCCTCATGAGATAAATATATGACATAAATGTAGTTATAAAAAATGAACCAGATAATCGATGATGTGCAATGACAACGTGCTAACCTCCTGAGCTATGGGCTAGGAAGGTAACACGAATTCTACTTGTTCTTATTGATAAAAACCCAGCTGAAGATCAGAAAAGCAAAGCAGCCAGCCACTAGAGAGTTCTACCAATGCTCAGACTGAAGGGGCGAGCCTGTCCTCAGGTTGCAAATCCAGACTGCAGTGCTTCTCAGACTGCCTCAGATTGCATCTGTCTCCACCAGACCTCAGAATGCTCTGAGCTCCTGTCTCCTCCCACCTTATATTCCTCTCTGTTGCTGGGATTAGGGCCATAGGGTTCCAAGTGCTGAGGCCACTATTGTGTGAGCTCTGTTTCTCTTTTAGACTGGCTCAGTCTCGTAGCTCAGGGTGGCCTTGAACTAACAGAGATCCATTTACCTCTGTCTCCTGAGTGCTGGAGTTAAAGGTGCGTGCCACCCCTGCCTGGTCTCTATGGCTAACTAGTGTGGCCAGCTTTGCACTCTGCTCTTCAGGCAAGCTTTTTATTTGTTAGATCATAAACAAAATATCACCACATTGAGGCCTCTCCTGTCATCTGAAACTAGAGATTTAAGATGCTGGCCAAAGGGAACATCCTATGTGTGTGTACATCAAGCAATGAGCTGTCTTCCTAGCCTAACTATTAGTTATCTTGGTGTACAATAGATCTCTTGAATCTTTTAATCTCCCAACTGTAATCATGTGTCCTTTTCATTCTTCTCTTTTTGTTTTTGAGAGACTGTCTTGCTCTGTAGCTCAGGTTGGCCTTCAACTCCTTATCCTTCTTGCTTTAGTAGCTCAGGTTGGCCTTCAACTCTTTATCCTCCTTGCTTTAGAATATGATTAGAATGATTTCATGCATCTGTGCTGTTTCTTAACAGGGGAATTGGCCTAGTCCTGTATGTTTTTTAAGACTGAGTGTTGTTATTAGCATTATTGAAACTTTTGTGTAGAACAGGGTTGGTTTGGAGTTTAGTCCCTGATGTTTGTCTGCCAAGGTCCCTTTCTGACCCAATTTCTGTGGACTTTGTCCTCTTCTGAACAAGCCACCATCATCAAAATCCGTTGGCATGGTTTCTGAGGTACTGCCTAGGGGGACACTGGAGCACACAGTTTTGACAGCATAGACTTGTTAGAAAAGCAGAAGGAGCCTGGACTTGATGGGTGGGTGAGAATTTACAAACTTCCTTATTTCTGTGGGTGACATTTGTTTGTTCCTACAGGAACAAGGAGTTGCCTTCATCTAGTTATTTATGGGAGGCACAACAAGCCTTGTTTTCTCAGGAAAGCCCGTTCAAGGCTAGAAGCAACACTGTTTTCACTGTTTCTGAGCAGGCGGAGGAGGCTGGAGTTTCTGTGGGATTCTTGGGTTGTCTCAGCTCTGATCGTCCTGTGGTTAGGGAAATTCACTTATAGTGCATCAGATTTCAGATGTGGGTCGCTCAAGACGGTCCTCAGCTCTGTATTTGGTTACCAGGTCTTCCGAAGCATTTGAGCTCAAAAGAGCAGTTGACATGGATGTTTTGTGCCCATCTCTGACACATATTTTTGGTGTTTTATGAACCAGGAAAGTCTTGGTTTTGGAGAGAGGCACAGGCCACTGGCAGAGGCTATTTGTTTGATTGATTTTAAAAACACCAGTGATTCAGCTGAAGGATAGACCCTTTGCTCCATCTATGTGGTGATCTGCACTACCATTCCTACCATTGATCCAGTGCTAACTGTGTACCAGGCACCAGGAGTTGCCAGCCGGTGATCTTTTGCCATCATCTGGTAACAAGCTTTAAAAGATTCCATGCCAGGCATTGGTGATACACGCCTTTAGTCTCAGCACTTGGGAGGCAGAGGCAGGTGGAACTCTGTGAGTTCAAGGCCAGTCTGGTTTACAAAGCAAGTTCCAGGGAAACCCTGTCTTGAAAAAACAAACAAACAAACAAAACAAAACAAACAGCAATGAAAAACCCAAACCAAACCAGAACAAAAACCATTCCTTGTTCTTTTTTTCTCAGATCCTAATAGTTGGTGGTGGTGTTGCTGGACTCGCTTCTGCAGGAGCAGCAAAGTCGATGGGCGCAGTTGTTCGAGGATTTGATACGAGGTGAGCACTTAACTAGTAATTAATGTTTAACTGAAAACACTTGTTTCAAATGGGGTGCATTACATTTGAGATAACAAACAGTAGCTCACCAAAGCTTTTCTATTTTGTCTTTCCAATTAAAAATGTTTTTCTTATCCGCCCAGTGTTGGTGGCGCATGCCTTTAATCCCAGCACTCTCGAGACAGAGGCAGGCTGATCTCTGTGAGTTCGAGGCCAGCCTGGGCTCCAGATCGAGTGCCAGGATAGGCTCCAAAGCTACACAGAGAAACCCTGTCTTGAAAAAAAAAATTTTTTTTTCTTTTTAAAAGTTGGCTCAATAAAAAATTTATTATTTACTGGGGAAGAATTAGACAAGCTTAGCCTCAGCATAGCAGAAATAATAAAGTACCTGAAAATTAATAGGCCACAGTTCTTTGTTTATATTGACAATGGGGCCACAGTTGTCTCTGGTGTGCTTGTAGCATGTTGCTTTACTGTGTCTTTTTTATCTTTAGAATGCTTCTGGGTACTAGGGAGGGTGTGAGCAAAGCCAGTGTGTACAATGGGAGGAGACTGCTAAGCATTGACCAGATGGAAGCAGCTAGGACTGACTAGTAACAATCTGCAAATACTTTTTTGTCTGGTGAGACTGGGTATTATACTCAATCCTCATACATGCTGGGCAAGTGCTGTGTCACTGAGCTACATACAGCTTCAAATCACTTCTTACCTAGGAATAGCAACACAGGGACTGTTAATTGTAGTATCGATGCTAAAGCGTTTGGTTTGGATATATAGAGAATTGACAATTTTTACCTGAAGATTATAGAACATGGGGAGAAACTACTTTTCTGTGTACACTGTATTTCTCAAGACAGCCATAAGACGTTTTCCTAGCTTGTTTGCAAAGAGAAGTTTAATTAAAATTCTTCATTGCTGATGATGCCAGATACCAGCATTTGTTAAACGCTTATTAAGTCCAATGATCATTTTGTTGTTCTATTTTTTTTGGGTGCAGTTCAGGACACATAAATGTTTATCGTCAACGAGGGCACTAGAGTAGTAACTCTACTGCCAATCTTATTTATTTTCCAGTGCCAGAGATTGATTCTAGGGCCTTGCGTATGCTCAGCACACGCTCTGCCAACTGAACAATACCCTTCCACTACCAATCATGAGTATAGAACAAAAATCAAAGTTGGAAAGACTGTAACTTTTAAACATTCATGGAATATGACCAACAGTCCTTTCCTGACCTTAGAGAAGTGAGGTGCTTATAAAGTCCAGTTCATCTCAATGAGAAAATGAGGCATTTCTGGGATAGCCATGATATCAGCTAGGGAGAGTTGGAGCCAAAAGTGACATTGCTTTTGTCCTTTCATTTTTAAGATTTGCTGATGATTGGATTTCCCCAAACCTTGAAGCCTTTAGAAAGTGGATTGTTCACCTTTTTGATATAATGGATAATGATAGTCAAGTAGCGATATATTGACCTAGAAATGATTTGAAACTTGCCCGGTTAGTTATTGAACATTTAATGTAGTGATGCCATTGTTCAAATTGTGAACTGCTGTTGTTTAAGTCTACTTGTGGTGGTTTGAATGAGAATTAACACCCCCCCACACACCAACCAGACTCATGTTTGGATACTTGGTCCTCAGTTGGTGGAAATGTTTGGGATGGACTAGGGGGTGTGGCCTTGTTGGAGGAGGTATGCTCCTTGGGCATGTTTTGAGGTTTGAAAAGCCCACACAGTTCCCAGTTAACATTCTCTCTGCCCCATGCTTGTGGATTGAGAGGCTGCCTCTCAGCTACTGCTCCAATGTCATGCCTGGCTGCCCGCTGCCATGCTCCCCACCATGGTGGTCATGGACTCTATCCCTCTGCAACTGTGAGTTCCAGATTAAATGCTTTCTTTTATAAGTTGCCTTGGTCATAGTGTCTTATCACAGCAATTGAAAAGTAACTAAGATTCTTTTATTTGTAATATATTTACTTAATATAAAAATCACCATAATGTAACAAATTACATTGTAATATAATAAAAACATCATGCAGCTAGCTTAATGTAGGTATCCAAGCAAACCCTTGCCCAGTCCCGAACTCCATCCATCTCATTGAATTTCTATACAGTTAGAATGGCCATTCTGAAGTTGTGGGTTTACAATTTTATTATCAATTACATTTTTTTGTGCATCATAAAATAACCATGACTGAATTAAGCCTAGAAAAGCAGTTCCCGGGAACATGTGTCCTTTGCTTGCATCCCACCTCTCCTCATCACCTAGTATTGCCTATTCTTGTTCTCCTCTCTAAATTATTCTATACCCTCATGTACATTTGCTTGTATATGTTCATATTCATGTATACATTACAGGCTAGGGTCGGAATGTGAGGGAGAACACAAGGTTATTATTACTTTTTCTTTGTGAGATTGGCTTTCCTTACTTAATATTATACATTCCAATCCATCCATTTTCCTGCAGATTTTACAATTTCATTTTTAAATTGAGATGATTTTTTCCATACAATATATTTTGATTGTGGTTTCCCTCCATCTATTTTTGGATCCTCTCCACCTCCCCATTCTTCCAACTTCATGCCCTCCCTCCCTCCCTCCCTCCCTCTCTCTCTCTCTCTCTCTCTCTCTCTCAAGAAAACAAACAGGCAAATAAAAATGACAAACACAAATAAAACAAAATGAGCAACTCCCCCCACACAAATGAAACTAATAATAAAAGAGAAACAGAGAAAGAATATGAAAAATACACACACACACACACACACACACACACACACACACACACACCCACCATAAAAACATAAAATCAGAAACCATAATACAAAAGCAAAGGACTAGTAAGATAGAAAATGCCCAAACAAAGCAATATGAGCCAAAGCATCTCAAAAGAACCTTTAAGTTCATCTTGTTTTTGGCATTTATTGCTGGGCGTAGGCTCTGCCCTTCAGTGTGGTTTGTATACTCAGGGAGGCTTCACTGTGAGAGTTTATTACTTAGACATAGCTTCTTGCTTGGGGATGAGAGTTTTTGTCTACTTCTCCATCTCAGTGCTGGGACCCTGTCTTGTTTGAAATTACTGCAGGCCCTGGGCATGCCATCACAGTCTCTGTGAGTTCACTGTACATCAGCCCTGTTATAGGTGTGCACACTAGCTCTGGTGTATTAGGTGGTTTTCTGTTGTTGTGATAAAATACCATGACCAAAGCAACCATGACCACATGCAGGGTTTATTTGGCTGATGGTTCCATAGGGAGAAGAGTCCTGTAAGACAGGTTGGTAGCATGGTGGCTGGAGGAGGAAGCTGAGCGTTATGGGGGACTTTCCTTCAAAACAGCACACCTGGTTAATATCTTCCTTTATGTAGAATATTTTGATGACTATATTTGTAGTTGTAGTAAGCACGTCTAATGATTGTTGTTATTAAGGAGGTGTGGGATTTATTGTAGTGGCAGAGATATTAGTGATTTCCACCACTGAAACCTTTAGTGGCTTTTATTTTCCAACCAGAATCTAGTGATTGCATGGCATTTATTTGTTTCAAATTGAATATATTTTGCATAATTTAAATACGTTGGCTCTTCACATCTTATCATTTATTCATTTACAGTTTTCTTTTGAGATGCTGTATCATATGGTTTAGACTTTCTTTGAAGTCCTAATCCTTCTTCTGCCTCTACCTTCTAACTCTGGGAATGCAGGCATGCACCACTATATATGTTTGCTCTTTTAAAGCCAGTTTGCCCATTTATGAGGACTGAAGCCCTCAAATTACTTAGTTTAAATTATAAATCTTACAATGAAAATGAACTCAGGGCATTTGTAAATGAAAAACCTCAACATGTATGATGTGAGTGATATCTAATCTCAGTGTATATCAGATGTCATATCATTGTCAATATTGGGACCTAAAGGGCTATAACTGATATGGCAATAGTAACATTCTTCTTTTAGTTTAATTGAAGTTGGGATTCTTCTTTATTCCCCTAAGAAAAAGTATGTAAGAATTGCCTAAGTCTAAAAAGTCACTGAAGCAGTCAAGCCAGAGATAGCAAAATAAACTTTTGACTTTTGACTCTGTAGGGTTTACTTAAATCAGTGGTTTTCAGCCTGTGGGTTGCAACCCCTTGGAAAGCCTCTATTTCCAAAAATATTTACATTATGATTCATAACAGTAGCAAAATTAAAGTTATGAAGCAGCAATGAAATAATTTTATGGTTATGAGACACTGCATGACGAACTGTATTTGAGGGTTGCAGCATTAGGAAGGTTGAGAACCACTGACTTAAAGTATATGTCAAGTCTGGCAGTGGTAGCATACACCGTTAATCCCAGCACTCGGGAGGCAGAGGCAGGCAGATCTCAGTGAGTTTGAGGTCAGCCTGGTCTACAGAGTGAGTTCCAGGACAGCCAGGGCTACACAGAAACCGTGTATTGGAGCACCCCACCCCCACCCCGAAAAAAGTGTATATGTAAATGAAGATTTTGATGTATGCATCAGGGGTCTAATTAGGTGCTGTTTCCCCTTCAACATTCCAGAGCTGCAGCTTTGGAACAGTTCAAGTCTCTTGGTGCTGAACCCTTGGAGGTGGACTTGAAGGAATCAGGCGAGGGCCAAGGAGGATATGCCAAAGAGATGTCCAAAGAGTTCATTGATGCTGAGATGAAGCTCTTTGCTCAGCAATGCAAGGAAGTGGACATCCTTATCAGTACAGCGCTGATTCCAGGTATGCTACTGGGGAAAGGGTTGTCTTTAAGGTGCATTTATGAATGATAATTTGAAATGTAAGATGAGGGTTGTTAGGGTTTCTGCTGCTGTGATAAAATACCATGACCAAAAGCAACTTGGGATGGAAAAGGTTTATTTCAGCTTACAGTTCTCAGATGACATCACTGATTGAAGTCAGGGCAGAAACCCAGAGGCAGGCACTGAAGCCGAGGCCACTGAGAAGTTCTGCATACTGGCTTGTTCCTCAAGATTGCTCAGTTTGCAACACAGGAGCTCCTTCTCAGGGGTGGCACCACCCACAATCAGCTGGGCCCTCCCTACAACAATCACTAATGAAGACAAATGCTCCAGTCTAGCCTATAGCACAGTCTAACGAAGGCATCTTCTCAATTGTGGTTCCTTCTCAGATAACTCCAGCTTGTATCAAGTTCATAAAATACATGGAAGATAATTTTGTAATTATATTTATGGACAGAAAACTTAGCAGAGGACATTTAACCCATTTTAGTGACAAGTTCTTTGGCCTTCGACTTTTCCAGCTTGGCAATGTGAGTCACAGATTTAGTACCTGCAGTAGTAATTTCTCGTGGGGATCCCCAACCCGAAAATAATGACACGGAGAATTATTATTAATTATGAAAGCTTGGCCTTAGCTTAGGCTTTTCCTCAACTAGCTCTTACAACCTGTCCCTATTAATCTACATTCTGGCATGTGGCTTAGTTACCTCTGCTCTGTACCATTTGTCCAACTTCTTTAGAGTCTCGCTGATGTCTCGCCTTTCTTCTTCCTAGAGTCCTCTTTGCCCGAAGTCCTGCCTATTCTCTCCTGCCTAGCTATTGACCATTCATCTTTTTACTAAACCAGGATACATCTTCATAGTGGCAGCGGATCTCATCATATCTGTCCTTATAATGGCTCCTAATAGCTCCCACCAGCCTAGCCAGAGGACCCCTGTCTTCTGGGTTAACCTGTGTGAAGGCCATGGTGGAGAATGTTTTCTTGTGGACCAGCTACCCCAGCCTGGCCTTTCCTTTGATGATGCAGTAGGGGACCAACATCTTACCACACAGGACAGGCAGGAAGACCACTAGCTCAATGGGGTCTGTGTTGTAAGCATTTGCCCCCAGCTGAGCCTTCTTGTTTTCCACCAAGGTGGCAACTGTATTGCCCCAGGAACATGCAACCCACTTTCCCTGAGTGCTTGGATTGCTATAGTTACAAAAAAACAGTTACAGAAGCTGTGACTTAGGGTTTAAAAGCTGGATTTCACTCTCCACAGTGATTTCATTTTGAAGAAATTCACACACCATTGTGCTTGTTTAAATTTCTTTTCTAAGTGAGGTGTGTGTGTGTGTGTGTGTGTGTGTGTGTGTGTGTGTGTGTGTGTATTAGGAAAGTGAAAAAAGCACATGACAAAAATCACTGTAGGCCCTATTGCACAGAAGTCATTAATAACATCACATGATTTCTTTTAGTGTATTTTCATGTAACTGTGTTTATATCATAGGTTATTTTCTATGTACAACATTCTATTTTTAAGTGGTGTCTTTACTGTTTCTGATGAAGTGCTAATTTGTTTCTGTTCTCTTCAAGACACTATGTTTTCATTGTCAAAAAGCACCAGAAAAATCTAAAGAATTAAAAACAAGTCAGAAATTCTATCAGAGATCATCATGACTAATATTTTGATGATAATGTTTCCATATGAGAAGGTATTTATGTGTATCTATATGTATTTATGGGATTTCCAGGAGATGCTTTTATTTAAGGATATGGCAGTTTTTTTCCTTATTATTTCCTTTGGTGTGCTTTTATGGAAAGAGTGATTATGTTTATTTACATGTATGTGCATGTGTCCCTGTGTGTGTGTGCCACGTTGAGTGCAGTGCATACAAGCCAGAAGCGGGCAGCAGATTCCTTGGAGCTGAGTTAGGGGCAAAATGATACAAATGATAGGTGAGCTGGTTTCTCCAGCCACCATCCCACCAGAGTGCTGTTAGATGAAGCTGGTAGGCAGGAGGGCAATGTGGGCTCTGCCCATGGGCATTGTGGATGCAGATTGAAAGCCATCCAGGACAGTGTTTGTGGCATCTGTCAGCTAGGATGGAAATGACACACAAACAGTGTCAGGAGAGCACCCCAGGATTCCCCTTTTGTGACAGTGACTCCTAAGAAGTTAGGCAACCCATGCTGTAGGAACACCTGCACGGTTGGTGGAGAAAGAAGTCAGTGTTAGGAGCTGATGAGTATGCAACAAGTGGCCAGTAGATGGTGCTAAAACATTTGCTCATTGAGCGAATGATTAGGACAGGAAGCTACCCAGCATTAATCAACTCAGATTCCTAATAAAGAAATGGCAGTAATTTTGACATAGTGTGTAGCTTTGTTATTGATTATAAAGCTGTGAGTGATACAACTCAGGCTCTCTTAGGTAAACATACCGAGCTTTGGGCCTACCTGTACGGCTTGTTTTGAGACAGGATCTGGCTGTATAGCCCAGGTGGGCCTTGAACTTGTGATCCTCCTGCTTCAGCTTCCTAAGTGCTGGGATACAAGATAATAGATAGCCATTGTTTATTTATTTACAAGTAGTTTCTACTCAGTGTATTGTAGTAGAAGGTCAAATTGTGTGATAATCTTGAAGACTGTCTAAAGAGGTGTTGCTATCCCATTTCATTGTATTTCTTAAGCCATGATCTTCATGTTAAACTTGCAGGAAGTTTGTGGTCAGTACATTGTCCCAGAACCTGCCCTCATAGAGCTGGATGGTTTAAATCCTGAGAGAGAGGGAGGGAGGAAAGGAAAGAGAGACAGAGAGACAGCACTAGCTTAGTACAGATTGTATGTGGACTGACATAGTTATGGAATGAGGTAATTGTTGTGCTGCTGCCTCTACTGGGTCGGGTGATGGGTTAAAGGTGGGAATTTTACTTAATGCTAGTAGCTTCAGGATGAGCTATTTACAGTCTCAGTGGTGCTGAATGCAGAGGAGACAGTGACCAAGCTCCCTATATAGCCTCTGCTAGGTTTACTGTGGCAGAAACTACCTCTTTTACATTGAAAGTCATTCCTGATGATAACCCAATTAAAAATTCATGATCAGGGCTGTGGAAATTGCTTAGCAGGTGAAATGTCTACCATGCAAGCTTGAGGACCCAAGTTTGGATTCTGGGCACTGACATACTAACCAGGTATGGTGACGTGTGTATGTATCTCTAGCACTGAGAGGGAAGGTCCGAGATAGGTATATCCCGGAGGGTTGCTGGCAAATCAGCCTAGCCAAATGGCACTTCCAGGTTTAGTGAGAGGCCCTGTCTCAAAAAAAAAAAAGTAAGGTGGAGAGCAGTAGAGAAAGACACCTATCTGATGTTGACTCCTGGCCTCCCATGCCTGGGTGCGTGCACCCACAGGCACACACTCACACATACATGTATGCAACACATATGTATATGAACATGCACATATTGTACACACAAAACAATAAAAGTTCATGAAGACTGTGATTATATGGCTTTCCTGATCTCCCCTCTCTGTACTAGGCCTTGTTATTTTCAATGTTCTTTTATTGGCCCATTACTCCTGAGATTTTATTTAGTAATGGTGACTGTGTCTTGGTCCACTCAGGTTTCCAGCATCATTAGATGAAGGTATCTAGATTGATCAAGGTTAGATCATAGTCCCCTGCTCCCAGTTACCCATGTTATAAAGTTTGTATCTTTGGTTACCTTTAAATTTTTTTCAGTCCTAATTTAGCTTTTTGGTTTCATGTTAAACTTCTGTCCAACTAGTGTCTGCTGTCAGTCATGCTAACCAGTTACCACCTCTAATAATCTAAGATACTTTCATAACTTCACATACATTATTATTGTTATTATTTTGCTTGGTCACACTGTCTCTTTTCTTTCCTGCCTTTTGAAGTCCCACTCCATTCAGTTGCCATCTCTTCCACAGTGGCTACCACAGCAGCAGATAAGAAGTTTTCTGCACCCATAGCACTTTGCCTGTGCTATCATGGCAGTGCTTAGTCCCCTCCGCCCTTCATTGTCCTGTCTTCCTGTGAACACAGTACAAATGTTCCAGTCATCTGTCAGGGCCAGTGCTTGGGCCTAGTATTCATACATAATAGTGGCTCAGCAAATATTGCTCAACTCATAATCCTGGATGTCCTCATTAGGTCTTGGTTGGCATGGTCACTTTTATTTTTTTCAAGTCTATCTAAAGGAAGGGCAGAACACTCTGTTGGCTCACTCCCCCCCCCCCACAATGTAGGAACATTGTGGAAGCTAATTTAAGACTAGAAACTTAGCTTTCTTAAATTATTCAAAACTAGGATGTATTCCCTGTCTGCAATTTGAGTTGGTTAGTAGCTAGACCTTTCAGGCCCTGGAATCAGGAGTAGTGGAGGGTGTGTTTAGGGCCTGTGAAGTGTCTCATCAGGAAGGAATATATTCATTGAATATAAATTATAATATCTTAGGCTATTGTATACTTGGATTTGTTTTTTAGATTTAATCCCCATTAGGTAGCAGTGAGTTTTGCATTTACACTGGTTAGGGTCTATAAAATGTCCTTGTCACAGGACATTTAAATCCTCCACGACTGGGGAAGAGTTGGGAAGGAGGTGCTTTCCTCTGATGGGGCTCAACCTGAGATGTTTCAGTCTCCTGCAAAGTCCACATCGATTCTGCATCTGACGCTGCCCATATATTTTTTGAATGTATTATTCATAGAATAAGATAACAGTCCAAAGAGATGGCTTTCAGACCTGTGATTTTAGGTAGTATAATAATATGACAATAACTGACACTTGCCCGTGGAATTCCACTGAGATAATTTTTGTTTTGACAACTGCACATCTTTTAAAAAGTTAGATTTATCCTTCAGAGTCTTTTCTTCTCAGTGGATGTTATGATCTTCATTGTCAAAACTACACCATGTAGGTCAGTGACTCCCAATGCTTTGGAGATTATATTACTTTATTTTGACACTCTGATTCA